GCCCACCTATGTATGCCCACACCCTACTCCAGGTGCCGCCATCAGGCATGCATTCAGGACCAGAGGGATCCATCATCAATCCTAATGGCAGGAGGGCAGAAAAGCCTGACAAACATTTACCCCATGTAAGGTCTTTAAATAATACGGTAGTGAGGTATGACGAGAGGAATGTGTTGTGCAGTCCTGTATTAGGACTTAAACTTTAGCAAGCCTAAACCTTGTGAGTGTTTCTCAATTTTTTTAGAGTTCTTCCTGTTCAGTGGGATGAAAAGTCTAGACTGGGTTGGAGATGGGTGTTTCTTCCACCTAGCAGGCAAGCACCAGCTGGAGTTTGTTAATTCCTTTCCTCAGGGCAGTTAAACTGATAATAAACAAAATAGTTCAGGCTTAAGTTAACTAGATTCCCCTGAGGGCTGTCCTTGTTAAAAACAGAGTACTCTGTGTCTATTTCAAAATGGTTCCTTTCCTCTGTGCCCCCAAGTGAAGCTCAAAGTGATTTTTTAGGAGATATTTACTGCAGGAAACTGGTTGAGCTCCTGGAAGTGAATCTCACAATATTGTGCACCTATCACTTGTTCCTCCTGGAGTTTATAACTCTAAGACTTGACCAAACTAAGCCTAGCAATTTTTCATCCACAGTTGAGGTTTTCCTTTCCAGCACCGTCTCACAGGGTGGTTTCTGCCGGCCATTCCAGGTAAGCCAGGACTCTCTCTATCTGCCTGTCTGCATTTTCTGTCTTGGGGGCAATGTTCCCCCTGTGTCTTCCTTCCCTTTGCTTACAAATTCAAAGACTTTGATTTTTCTGTCCATTTTTCCACTTGTTAGGATGGAGTGGTGACTTTCAAGCTCTTTACATGTGGAAGTAGAAATATGAAGTATCTGTTAAAGTTGGAAAAGTAGCTGTGCTAACCCTGTAATCTAACATTCAGATTTGCACGCTGCTGAAATCTTAGAAATCAAGAATATATGAACAAAGATGTTCACTGTAGCATTGCTTATAGTTCAAAACATGTAAAAAATATGGGTACATTAACAGTAAAATGAATTTAATATAGCCTGTGCATTATTGAATGCTTAGTATGTAGGAGTTAAAAATAAATGAGTTGTACTCATTTCAAGTTGACTATATTTAAGAAAATAAAAGATTAAATCACTCTGCAAAAGTATTTAATGTAACATAATATAAATAATTCCTGTTTGTATTGATAAAAATAGTGATAAGAAGAAAATATAAATACAAGAATTATAAAGTGCTACAATAAATTATGATAGTCCATCTACCTCTCCTTCCCCACCCTGTGAAGAGATGGAATTATATTTTTAGTGGTAGAAGGGACTTAAAGTTTATTTGTAAACTTTTATTTTTATAGAAAAATATATAAAATCAAAACTGAAAAAAATCATTTTGAATTGTGAAGTGTGTATATATACATACACAAGTTTTAAAAATGTTTTGCCATGCTTTTCTGTATAATAAAAAATGATACATTTTATTAGTATATTCTAATTACAAAAAGTTAAAATAGCCACAGTGCCTGACTCTTCCAGGCCTTTTCAAAGGTTGGTTGAAATAATGAGTAGGGTAAGGGAAAAGGTATCAGGCTTTTCTGCCCTCCCGCCATCAGGAGAGATGAGGGAACCCTGTGATCCTGAATGCATGCCTGATGGCGGGCACCTGAAGTGGGTCCACCTGAGCTAAGAGACGGATTTATAAGGGTGGTGCAGTATTAAGGGTGGAGCAGTGGAGTGTACGGAGGAGAACGGCGACTACAAACAACGGCGAAGAGCATGTGGCTGCTAGAACCGTTCATTAACCTGCCCGGATTGGGTTGGTTGCTCTACAAATGATATGAAAATCATGCCCTAGATTCAATATTGTGTTCTACATTTTCACTTTTAAACAGCATATTATCAAAGGGTGTAAAAAAGTGGATCTCTGGAGTTAGATTACTTTTGTTCAAAGAACAGGTCCATGATGAACAATTCCTTTTTACCTCTGTGTTTCTATTTCCTCAAAAGTAAAATGAAGCAAGTGGGATTGTTACTGAATGCTGGTCCCAGTTTCCCTTAGCCTGTAAAAGGAAACAGTTTGAGAAGGAAAGTGATTGTGAGGAGGGCAAACTGAGAAGGGCAGTGGAGGACTAGTGTGTGAAAGACCACCTTCCTGCTCCCTGGCAGAGGGAAGGGCTCTTGATCCAGAGTTACGAGGGCATAGAAGGGAGAGATGTAAGAGCCAACATGTCTATCCTTGCAACCCATTGATGCCAGTTTGCTTTTGCTATCATCTGCTGGTCAACAATTCATATCTCCCTAATAATATTATTTTTTCTTGGAATGTCAGAAAACTAAGTTGTTAAGCCTGGAGGGTAAATGCGGAAATGGGAAAGCTTATCTGGTGGGACAGAGTAAAATACTTCACTCCTGTTTCAGAGTTGTGTAAAGACTAAATGTAAAGTACTTGGAATAGAACTTTGCGTGAAGAAAGCTTTGAACCAATTTGAGTTTGTTATTTCTCAGGTCATTTAAAATGTTTGAATATATCTTTTGAATGTATGATATTTTAATTAACACATTATGTAATGCTTTACCTGTTTCCAATTTTAACTTAGTAATTTTGATAATATGCTCAATTAAGTATATGTATATCATTTATAGGTAGTAATTTTTGAAGCATTGATATAATTGAGAATTTTTTTTATTTTTCACAGGTTAATTGGATCACAACATTTTTTTCTCAAATTTCTGAAAATATTGTCATTTCCTATTAGTGAGAAATTTAATGAAAATTAAAATAAGTCTAATTTTTGTTCAAATATACAAAGGGTCTTTTATGACTAATTAAATATATGTAAATGAGATTTAATTCAAATTCTTTGCTTGTTTTATGCTATGTGCTATATTTTATTGATATTTCTGGGCACATGATGAAGTATTTATTTTCATTCTCAATCTTTTTATTTTTTTAAAAATTAATTCAATTATTTGCTTGTTGCTTTTGTTCATTATTTTTCTTATTGAATTACATTTTTCTTGTGGAATTCCTAACAAGCATTATACTCATAATTATTTCCTTGTAATCTAAGAACTCCATGAGGACAGATGTTTTCTCCTTCCTATTCTTGATTCCAAACCTGAGTTTATATCTGAAACAAAAATAGGAATTACATATGTGTAGGGTACTGTTTAGGAGGCTGTTCTCCCTCTGAGTTATCATCATGCTCCTTCTTTCTTTTCTGGTTCTAGAATGTTTATCTGATAGTCTCTGCTATGACCTAAATGTTTGTGACATCCATCTCCTAAATTCATATGTGAATTTGTTATAGGACAGGGTGAAGGGCACCCTAGAACTCCCAAACTTGCCCACTCCAAATAGGTTCTACCATCTGACGCATCAAGACAAAACATACTCTAGTGCATAAGATATTCATTTTATTTTTTAAAGATTTTATTTATTTATGCGTATGATAAGTGGGGTGTAAGCCAGAGGTGCAGGGGGTGAGAGGATTCACCAGAGACAGATTGGGGAACAGAATAGGAAGATCGACTGAAATACACTGCTGAGGGGAGCAGCGGTTGAGACAGGCGAGGTCTGATATGCCATGTGGGCAGCTCCCTGGCCTGGGATTGAACTCATGCTGCAGTGTCTGGAGATAGTTTGATTTCACTGAGACATTACTGAGACATTAACCCCTATGTCACCAGGGAGGCCCCTGCATATGATCTTTAATGGAAAGGAACTTTAATACAATAGTGTGCAATACAGAAAAGACAAAGAATATAGTTTTCAAATCAAGCATCCAAAGTTACCCATCTCCTCGCAGGGAAATATCCAGCCTAACAGGATTGCCGCAAAGCAGGGCCCCCGAGGCCCAGAAGCCTGCCGTGAGACTAAAGCACCTTCTGGTGGGGACCCATATAAAAGGGTCAAAAAGAGCTAAACAAGTCTGGGAGGAAAAGAGCAAAATCAAAATCAAGATAAAAGCTGCCATTGTTAACCTCTCCATGGGACTCTCGCCCACATCAGTTTCAACAAATTCAAGACCAAGAAGTAAGTGCAGCTTCTTCGCATGTCTCTCTGCTCCATGTGCCTCCTCCAGGTCTCCTTGCTCTCCATCCTTCTCTATTTCTTCTCCCTGCCCAACTCCACCCCCCTTGGATGTGGCAGGGAACTTGGAACCTCTCCTTTACCTGGGGACAGCCCTGTTATATAACCCTGATCCTAAAATTATGATATTAGGAAATGGGGGTCTTTGGAAAATAATTAGCTCATGAACTCTCCTACCCACCTGTGACTATGCAGTTTCCTCTCTTTGTCTATCTCCTTTTCCTAATAAAGCTGTCCTTTCAAAATGTTAAAAAAAAAAAAAATAGGTCATGAGAGTGGAATCTCATGAAGGGAATTCATGCCCTTGAAGAAGAGATCTTCTAGAGGTGATCTGTCTGCTATGTGAGGATATAGCAGGAAGACTCCCTATGTAAACCAGGAAGACAGTTCTCACAGGGCACAGAAAGGGTCATGCCTTGACTTGAACTTTCCAACCTTCAAAATTATGAGAAATAATTTCTTTTCTCAGTCAGCTATTCAATGGTATTTTGTTATAATATCCCAAACCTTCTAAAACAGATTCCATTTCAACATTTTATTTTTGCTATATTAATGTTCAAGCCATGTATTCTTACAACATTCTGAATTATTTAACATGACTTCCCTGGGTTTAATAAAAAACCATCACTCACATGTTATTTAATTAGGTCATCTATTGTATGGAATGAGTCCATATCAATCAACAGTTTTTCAGTGACCTGATCTGTAAATTGTAGTTTATCTTATTCTTGCTAAACAAAATGAAACATATCCAGATATGTATGCATCCTCAGCCCTTACAGCCTAGTACAGTTGATATTGTCATCATACCTTGTTTGTTTAGTCAGAACATTGTTTTGTTTGTCTGTTTAGAGTGAGGCCATTGTTACACTTTGCTCTGTGTTCCATCTCAAGCCCTAGGTCTCTTGCCTTGCCTGTCTTCCTGGGTCACGATCCAGGACAGAGGTGATTACAATCCTGCTGTTCTCTACAGTGCTCTTCCCAGGGCAGAGTTTCTATTATAGAATTGGGAGCTGGAGCAGACAAAAGAATCCAACCCTTTAGCCTCAGAACAGGTGGCTGGGGCAGGATGAGAAATGCTGATGTCCTGGCCCTGCCAGGAAGATTGTCTCCTGAATGGGAATAGTGTGTCCTGGCTGTGACAGCAGGAGTGGAGTTCCTCTTACTGAGTTGGGAGGCTGGATGGAAATAATAGTTTTGATTGAAATAAAAGGATTGGGCAGTTATTAAGATTTAGTATACTTCCTTCAGTAACTTTTTCATTTGCTGTATACCTTTAGGACCATTTGTAGAGAATTAATTTTTTTTTCTTTAAGTCTTGGCCAATTCTTTGCACCACCTGTCCTCAAAGTACCTCACACTATGATGCTAGGCTGTATGTTTTTTTTTCAAGATTTATTTATTCATGCAAGAGCTGGGGTACAGGCCAGAGATGAAGGGGGTGAGAGGATTCACCAGAGACAGAGTGGGGAACAGAGTAGGCAGCTTGATGGACACTGCTGAGGGGAGTAGCAGGCCTCCCTGGTGGTGCAAGGAGTTAAGCACCACAATAGGCTGTATAATATTTTTTAACAGTAATACGCATTATAGCTAGTATAACCAAATTCTATTGTAAGCTCTATTTGTGAAATGATAATTTCTTCTTTAGGAACGCAAACTTATGCATCAAGTTGCTGACTGCTACTACTCTTAAATATTATTGTCGTATTACATATATAAGATATAGTGCTGTGATACGGCTGACATTGCAAGGTACCACAGATCAGGTGTCTTCAACAACAAAGATGTACTCTCTCACAGTCCTAGAAGCTGTACACCCAAAGTAAGTTGTCTGGGAAGGATTAGTTCTTCTGAGGACTGTAAGAAAAAGATTGTTCCAAGTCTCTCTCCTTGACTATCTTCTTTATAACTTTATAACTTCTTTCTTCTGTTCATATTTATTACAAATTTCCACTTAAAAGGATACCAGTCATATTGAATTAGAACCCACCCTAATGACCTTATTTTACTTTAATTATGTCTTTTAAGACCCTTTCTCCAAATATGTTTACTTTCTGAGTAATCCACAATTTAGGATTTCAGCATATGAAATTTCAGTGGATAAAATTCCACACAATTACACTAGGTAGTATAGGTTATGTTAAGCTGCTACTCAGCTTACTTTGAAATATTTTAAAACACACAGGAAATGATTTTTAGGTAAACATAAATTTTTAGGTAAACATAAACATAGTTTATGTTTTTAGGTAAACATAAAATTTAAAATTTTAGGTAAACATAAACATAGTTTATTAGAACAAAGTTAGCAAGAAAAATTACATGAAAATTGCTTATAAAATTTTAGAAATTTCCTTTTCTTGTTGCACTAAAAATACTAATTATCTCATGATTTAGCGATACATTTGAAGTAGCCATATACCCAAATGTACTATTTTAATGCATCACAGATCAAAAGTATAAGTCCTGAAACAATCAGAAGGTATGCTATTTCATTTTTTCAAAGCAGAAAAACATTTGATATATAGATCAATGAATATCTAACATAGGAATCTTAATATGTGGTAAGCAACTTTCAATTTTAATGTGATTATGGTATCATGAGTAAACTTACTTTTCACTGTTGGTCTTTAAGATAGATATTACTAGTTATTTCTCCTTTGCTTTTTCCTGTGTCATTCGGTGTTTAAACATTAAAGCATTGCTTGTATGTTTTTAAATATCCAGAATTGTGGTATATATTCACCATAGCAACTATGTTACTATTAGGCAGCAGGTGACTAATGTGGATTATGGCCAGTGTAGCTATAGTAAGCAATAGAGGAAAACTGAGCATATAGATGGTTTTTGTCTCTCCTCTTTCCAACCCAAATTACGAAGGATTATTTGTTCCTCTTCCTTCCCCTTTTTGGGTGTTCAAAAAGCTACTACATAATTAACAAATAAATTCCAAATTATTTCAATTGCTAACATACAGTATTTGGAAAGTCCATGTATTGTTCTCTAGAATATAAAGAATATACTTACTCTTCTTTCAATATTTTCTTTTTTTTTAAGGTTTTATTTATTTTTGCATAGAAGAACTGGGGTATAGGCCAGAGGTGTGTGTGTGTATGGGGGTGTGGTGAGAGGATTCACCAGAAACAGAGTGGGGAGCAGAACAGATTGACTGTAATACACTGCTAAAGAGAGCAGCGGGTGAGAGAGGAGAGGTCTGTTGTTCTATATGTGGGTCAGCTACCTGGCCTGGGATTGAACTCAGGCTGTCTCAGTGGATGCACTGAAACTTAAGCCCTACGGCACTAGAGAGTACCACCTTCAATGTTTTCTAAGACTGAAATGAAAAGTTTTGGATAGCAAAGGTTGTTCAAAGTTATATATATATTTTTAATTTATGTTTATGACTCTGACAGATCACTTAATATTTTAATGTGTCTATTTCCTTTTGCCAATTGTCCCAAGAATCCTCTGGTTGTAGATTTTTAAGTATTTCTCTGATGATGATATCTTCATTAACCAGTTTGTCACTTTTCTATACCCTAGCTTTTCTAAGTTAATTGGGTAGATCATATGGTAGTGAGTGTGTTTTGAGTCCTGAAAGACTCCTTTGCTTCTTTATTTTAGGTAATAGGATAACTGTTGTCTCAAATAGACTACCTGTCTCAAGAAAACCAAACACTACAACAAATATTCTGAGCCAAAGCTCTCTTCCCTCCTGCAAAACCACCTAAGTCGAAAGTTCTAATACTGAAGATCAGATCGTATGATATGTAAGTGCTTATCAATTTATTGACAATTAACAAATGGCCAAATTATATAAATCATCACTTGGTATTACTTGAAACATTAAGAAATCTTTGTCAATGTGTGTAGTGTAGTTTTTAGCAACAAGGATTTGGGGTTATACAGGTTGAATTTCAAATTCTGCCTGGGGCACTTACTGTGTTACCTTGGCAAAGTACTTAACTTCTGTGAGATTCAGGTTTCCCAGTTGCAGAATGGGAATATTAACATCTACTAGAGTAAAGTAGATTTACAGAGAGATGTGCAGTGGAAGACAAACTTGCTGTCTCCGCATGTCATTCTTGATGCCACTTTCCTTCCTGAGAAAGAGCCACATGCTACCCCTTTGATCCCAACAACAATAAAAACTTCCAAGTAGTCACAGGGCAGTAAAGATGTAAGCTCTATTCTAAATATTTTTTAAAATGATCCTGTATTCGTCACATCCTTTTGCAATAAGTGATGTAATTATAGGCAACCTACAAAAAAGTTGGTATAAAGTAGTTAAATAACTTGTCTGAAGTCATCTTGACAGGCAGAGTTAGTGTGTGTTTCAGCTCTGAACAACCATATGCGCAACTCTCAGTGCTGTATCCTTCTCTCTGTATCACTTGTGGGTAATCTTTCTTGAATTTGTTTTGGAAACTTGGGACTAAAATTCTAAAATGCACCTCGTAGACAGTATTTAAAAAGTCTTCAAAAAAATGGCAGAAGTAAACATGGCAACAGCAATCCTACTAGCACCAGAGAGGCAGAGGAGGAGGATGGTGACTAAGACAGAGTCATTTATTCCGTGGCATGGTAATATAGGTCAAAATGTAAGATACTGTGAATTCCTTATAGATAAGTTTTTGCTAATGTAATTTTAAAATGGAATTGAATGATGAACAAATACCCTGAAACAACAAGGAGGCTAAGACAAGAGTGACATAAAATAACTCAAAAAGCTAAATTCAGATGTGAGCATATGTGTAAACTAACATAAGACTGAGTAATTAATAAAAAACTGTCAACACGTAGTCAGTACAAGATATGAATCAACTAGCTTTTAAATTTAAAACTCTTTCAACAAGCAGTTTTCCTTAGTTTTTATTTCTTTATATTTTACTTAAATTAAAGCAGAAATTCTTATACTTAGGGAGAAATGCACTATAAATTGTTGCCCTAGATGTGACAACACATTTGCAAGTTATTAATGCACTTATTAGAGAAACACTCTGTATTTTCCTTGAAAATCTCATAGTACTTTTTCTTGTTAAGAAAATCTTCAACCTTTGCCTTAAGGCGTTGCTTTTTCTGGGAGATAGAATCCCAAAGAGTGTTGGTGATGAACAATTTTAATAGAGTATAAAAATACCCTTTTTTTTTTAAAGGATACACTCCAATAGAAATAATATCTTTTCTAACAGACATAATTTTTTTCTCAGGTTCCTTGATTGTCCCTTGGAGATAAAGGTGTAAATCTCACTTTGTCTCTTATCATTTTCATTTATGTTATACAGAGTTTCTGGTCAATCTAGTCAGAGTTCCAAATATATTACTAGTTAAAAGCTGCGAAAAGGTTAACATAAACATTCACACATACACACTGTAACACTAAAGTTAGAGATATCTCAGAGATAAGGTTATTGGATCGATTTCTTTTTCTTTTTTTAAAATTATTTTTTAAAAGATTTATTTATGATTACAAGAACTGGGGTACAGGCCAGAGGTAAGGGAGGTGAGAGGATTCACCAGAGACAGAGTGGGGAGCAGAACAGGCAGATGTGCTAAAATTCACTGCTGAGGGGAGCAGCGGGTGAGTCAGGAGAGGTCTGCTGCACCATGTTCGTAGCTCCCTGGCCAGGGATCGAACTTGCACTTTCAAGGCTGCGGGACAGCTTCGCAGTGCTGCACTCAATCCCTTGTGCCACCAGGGAGGTCCAATTTTTTTTTTCTTTTTGCATTCTCACTCTCTTAAAATTTGGATTGTTAAAATTTCTGGGGATTATGAAGTAGTTTATTTATAGGGATATCAAATTACTATGTGATGTACTTATAAAAATTATAAGCCAGGTGAATATCCTTTATGAAGCTGAGAAAGTATTAAAAAAGGATTACTTATCTGTAAATTGATGCATATTTGCATTTGTAGACAATACTGTAAACATTCCTTATCAAAACTTTATGTATTTTTTTTTAAAGATTTATTTATGCATACAAGAGCTGGGGTACAGGCCAGAGATGTGGGGGGGGGTGAGAGGATCCACCAGAGACAGAGTGGGGAACAGAACAGGCAGACTGACTGAAATACACTGCTGAGGGGAGCAGCTGGCGAGACAGGAGAGTTCTGCCTCACCATGTGGGTTTCTCCCTGGCTGGCCAGGGGATCGAACTCATGCTGCAGAGGCTGTGGATTGTCTCATTGACCCCTTGTGTCACCAGGGAGGCCCAACATAAGTATTTCTTTACCGTCACAATTTTTCTATCATGATAGCTAGATTCAGTTTTTACTTTAATTCCCCTCTCTCTCTCTCATATTTTCTCTTAATAGTAACATTTCTGGATGATAGAATATGCAAAAGAACTCAAAGTCTTTATTCTTATAAAATTAAAGTAGACTGAAAAATTTGTAGAATTTTACGCCATTTTAAACAAAGGCTTAAATGATCATTCACATACCTTGACATAAACCTTAATTGATATTTTAGTATTTATGATTTTATTCATATTTAGTAATACTTCTGAGACTTATAAAACCAGAGTTTTAAAAGTGTGGGAGTTTGGTCATTGTAGGAATGAGACAAATGGCTGGGTAGCTATCGTTAGACCATCTTTTTTTTTTTTAAAGATTTATTTATTTTTATACACGAACCGGGGTACAGACCAGATGTGCGGGAGGGTGAGAAGATTCACCAGAGACAGAGCAGGGAACAGAACAGGCAGGCTGAAGAAATACTCTGCTGAGGGGAGCAGTGGGTGAGACAGGAGAGGTCTGCTGCACCATGTGGGATTCTCGCTGGCCGACCGGGATCAAACCCGCGCTGCAAGAGGCTGCGGACAGCTTCACAGTGCGGCGCTCAACAGCCTGTGCCACCAGGGAGGCCCTCTTCTTCAAACCATCTTAATCCTGTAAGCATTATCCATTAAAAAGGTCAGAAACAGAAGATGTTAGCAGGACAAAATAATGGCTGCATGAAAGAAATTTTTTCAGTAGATTAGGGATCTACACTTGGCCAGAAATTACCTGCTAAAACTACAATAATACCATGTTTTAAAAAAGTTGGGGTGGCCGCTCTCCTTCCTACCTGTCTCTTTTTCTCTCTCCTTTTCCTAATAGACCTGTCCTTTTAAAATGTAAATAATAAAATAAAATAGGGCATGGGGAAGGTGAATCAGACTATGTGACTGGTGCAGTTCAGTCACATAAACATGGACCAAAATACATGCCCTAGAGTATCCATGTGATTGCATTATTCTCTATACCCTTCCTTGCTGTGAAACACAAATACATCATACTCAGTATTTACTGTCTGTCCAAGTATGTAATAATCCCATTTCAGTTTGTTTATTTATAAACATGCTACTTTTTACAAAGAGAATGCAATAGGTAAATTATATAACTACTGTATCCTTTGAAAAGATGTTAATAATGGATTTTATGTTTAAGGGGGAAAAAAGCCTGGTGTAGAAAAATTTTGTGCATGGACTTCAGAGAAACCACTATTTGAATAATCTCACAGAGGTCAGTTCCAACTCATGTGGAGATCTTCAGACAAAAATGTATAGAATTCTAGTTACTCTGAATTATGAGAAGTAGCTTCATTAGGATAGGATTGAAAGGAAAGGTAGTAAAGGATACTCTAGACATGAATAAAATTTATACATGCAAGAATCTAAACCCTGTGGAACTGAGTAATGAAGGCTGATTACTTGTCTATCTATAGTTTTGGGATACACTGCAGTGGAATTACTAGCAAGGTATACATTTAATAATGTTCTTGTAATAGGGGACTAGTTCTGATATGCTGGAAAAGACAATATAGAAAGGGTATTGTTAAAATACCATCCAGTGTAAGAATAAATCCCAATCTCTGAGTAAAGACAATGGAAAATTATTCAAGCAACAATTAAACATTCAGGAATCCTTCTGTTTGCAGAACTGCCTTAGGCCGCATTTAGTTACAGAGGCTGTTGTGGCAAATCAATAGAGAGCAATGCCCCATTTATTCTACATTGCTGGGTAATGAGGTGTTCCAGCAAAGTGAATTTTCCCAGTGAAGTTACCCCTTCAAAAATGTTTTTGTGAAAACCACTTTCTACCCTTGTGGTAGAAACTAGCACTAAGATCTCTAATACTCAAATTCTCATCTGCAAGTTTCAAAATTCTTATTTCCTAGTCCAAAGTATATGGTATTTTGAAACCTTTCTAAGTAGTATTATATTTGCCTTTTTTCCTTAATGAAAGTAGATGGCCTGTAGAGAACAGAGAATTCAAAATTATAAATGCTATAATCATTCTCAGTTCTCTATTTTTAATTGTAATACCCATGTATAAAGAAAGAAGCTCTTGTATTTTATTTTTGAGACAACACTAGAAAATGAGCTATTGCTAACTTAGAATTTGGAGTCATTTCTAAGAACCATCCCTCTCTGTGAAGTGGAAATGCAAAGCTGGAGAGACCTTCTGGGCTCCTTAGATTAAGCCCCTCATTTTAGCATGAGGAAACTGAGCGCAAAGGGGTAAAAGTCTTGTTAGGTATACATGTCAGTGCCATTGCCATATTCGACATCAAGAGTTAAAAATACATGGCCCTAGGGAAGGTACATTCTCTCTCCTTTCTTTGTGAATCAAGTTTTATTGGATCACAGTCACATCCATTATATTACATACCAAAAGCTGTTATCATGTTGCAACTACAGAGTTGATTAGTTGTGACAGAGACCAGAGACAGGACAGATCATCTGGTTCAAAAAATCTAAAATGCTTATTATCTGTTCCTTTACA